GTTAGCCTTAGCGGGGGTCCTTCAAGAAAAGAAGGAGAGTCTGAGAAGCTTCATGGACTGATTCAACAAGATTTCCATGGAGATCGGCGATCTTAACCCTGTCGTGGCGTTAGACCGGCTGAGCACTGCTCTCAGGCTGGGGCCATTCGTGAATAGCTTGTGCAAGAAGCCACCCGCTGATATGAATGATCTTCGACGCCAAGCTAAAAAGTATATGCAAATGGAAGAACTGGCGGAAACCTGAAATCAAGCTAGGGCTGAGGAGAGCAACAGCTGAAAGGAATCCGGCCGAGAACCGACGAAGAAGACAAATGCCGAGCCTTCAAATGCCCGCCCCCCAAGAGGACCACGCTACACAGCGTATACTCCCCTCAATACGAGTAGGGCTAAGGTGATGGAGCAGGCCCTCGCGTCAGAGATTCTTGTGATGCCGAAACGGGTGAACACACCCCCTAGAGCCGACAAAGCCAAGACGTGTCGATTCCACCGAAATAGGGGGCACTCGACGGAAGAATTCTCAGTGCTAAAAGACAAGCTTGAGGACCTTATCAAACAGGGTCACCTTATGAGCTTCGTCACCCCTCCAAACCACCAGTCAAGGGGGGGAGACCGCCACTCTCGAGAAGCACCACCGCTGAGGGACCGACGCCACCGATCCCGATCAGCCGAAAGGAGAGAACACTCGCGACATTCACGGGAAGATACTGACCGACCAAGGAGGGTGATAAACATTATAGCTGGAGGCTTCGTGGGAGGAGGATCCACCTCCTCGGCACGAAAGAGGCACCTCCGTGCCGTACGATCCGTGAATAGTGTAAATAAGCCGAGCATGCCGAGGATGCCACCGATAACCTTTTCTGACCGAGATTTCCGTGGCGTCGATCCCGTCCAAGACGACCCCATGGTGATTTCCGTCGAAATGCACAACTGCATTGTGAAGAAAACCTTGGTCGACCAGGGGAGCTCGGCCAACATATTGTATTGAAACACTTTTGTGCAGCTTGGGATCCCGGAGGAAAGCCTAGAACCGTATCACGAGCCGCTAGTAGGATTCTTGGGCGAAAAAGTGATGACAAGAGGGTGCATTGACCTATACACTCGTTTCGGCTTCGACCAAAAGTCATCTCGAGAGATAAAAATCTGCTACATCGTGGTGCATGCGAACACGTCCTACAATATCCTACTAGGCCGACCATCAATCAATGCGCTGAGTGCCATTGTCTCGACCCCTCACCTGTGCATGAAGTTTCTGTCGAGAGATGGACAGGTAATAACCGTTCATGCCGATTAGAAGACAGCAAGGGAGTGTTACCTCTCTAGCTTGAAGTTACGACCTATTGCCGACCCCCCAACAACAACGAAGGGTGTGAATGTGGTCAGACAGGAGATGATGGAAGGCATTGACCTCGATCCCCGGTTAGGCGAAGAAGAGCAGATTAAGCCCGCTGAAGACCTCATCCCTTTTCATCTTGGTCGGGCACTCGAACAGGTCATGCACTTGGGGTCCCAACTAAACGAAGCCGACTCGGACTGGGTGAAATGAGCAGTTCGAGAAAACAAAGACCTATTCGCATGGACGGCGTCTGACATGCCAGGGATTGACCCCAAATTCCTATGCCACCGACTGGCCGTATGTCGAGACGCCCGACCAGTTTCCCAAAAGAAGAGAAATATGGGAGACGAGAAGAGAAAGGCCGCCAATGCCGAGGTACAGAAACTGTTGCAAGCACAATTTATCAGAGAGGTCCTTTACACCACGTGGCTGGCCAATGTGGTGTTGGTTAAAAAGGCGAATGGAAAGTGGAGAATGTGTACCAACTACACCGACCTCAACAAAGCTTGCCCTAAAGACGCTTATCCTCTCCCCTGCATTGAACGACTCGTCGACGGGGAATCCGGCCACTCTGTATTCAGCTTCCTCGACGCATATTCCGGCTACAACCAAATAAAGATGCACCCGATCGACGAAGAGAAGACGGCGTTTATCACCGAGAACGCCAATGCCATTTGGACTGAAGAACGTCGGGGCGACCTACCAGAGGTTAATGAACAAAGTGTTCCAAGGCCAAATCGGCCGAAACATCGAGATTTATGTGGACGACATGGTGGTCAAGTCCAATTCCCTGGCCGATCACATAGTCGACCTAACCGAAATCTTCGGTGAACTATGCAAGCACAACATGAGGCTCAACCCCGAGAAATGCACCTTCGGAGTCAAGGGAGGCAAGTTCTTGGGGTTTATGCTATCAGCAAGAGGGATAGAAGCAAACCGAGACAAGTGCTAAGCCGTGTTAGACATGAGAAGCCCGAGCAACCTCAAGGAGTTGCATCGACTGTCAGGAAGACTGGCCGCCTTGTCTCGATTCCTCCCCCATCTGGCCGAAAAAATTAGCCCAATGACGAAGCTTTTGCGAAAGGCTTCGGTCTTCTCGTGGGATGAGCCATGTGAAGAGGCCTTTGCAACATTGAAAACAACCTTGGCGACACCACCAATCCTCACGAGACCTGATCCTTTGAGCCCACTACTGTAACACCCCAGTTTTCAAAAAGGTTATTGTTATTATTGGTTAAGAAGAATCTGGAGTTTATATGGGGAGAACAACAAGAGAGAGCCTTCCTAGCTCTAAAGGATAAGCTCACCCATGCACCACTTCTAGCTCTTCCGGATTTTTCAAGAACTTTTGAGCTAGAATGTGATGCCTTTGGGGTTGGCATAGGAGTGGTTTTGTTACAGGGTGGGCACCCAATTGCTTATTTCAGTGAAAAACTTAAAGGTGCCTCCCTTAACTACCCTACCTATGACAAAGAGCTCTATGCTTTGGTTAGGGTCTGATGGCATCCCTCCTTCCATGGTTGATGATAGTGTGATGAAGGGAGACACCTAGCCCATGATCTAGGCTCACCAAAGGGTAGACAAAAGGGAGGTTTATGGTGACAAGGGAAGCTAGGCGTGAAATGGTTGTAGGTGGCGGAAGTGTATGGTGAATGGTGTATGAATGCTCAAGGTTGGCTCACTCCAAGTGTAGATGGAGGCCAATCTAGGGTTTCACTCTCCAAGGGTGGAGAATGAAGGTGGCTAGCCGAAACTAACCTAGTGACTAAGGAAGAGGATTTGAGGCACAAAAGGCTCACTCAAATTCATATAATCCAAAGTATTTACAAGTGGTGGGGTGTTGGGTATTTATAGGAGGGGAGGCATCTAGGGTTGCATTTGGAGTAGGCAAATGCATTCCAAATGAAATGCAAATGAACCCTAGATGCAACTTGGTGGCCAAGGATGGAATCTTTCACTCTCCAAGGGTGGAGAATGAAGGTGGCTAGCCGAAACTAACCTAGTGACTAAGGATAGGATTTGAGGCAAAGAAATGCTCTCTCAAATTCATATAATCCAAAGTATTTACAAGGTGTGAGGTGTTGGGTATTTATAGGAGGGGAGGCATCTAGGGTTGCATTTGGAGTAGGCAAATGCATTCCAAATGAAATGCAAATGAACCCTAGATGCAACTTGGTGGCCAAGGATGGAATCTTTGGGTTTAGATTGGCTATATCTAGGTGCATGATAAGACCATGCAACCTTTGCCCTCCACTTGGGCCTAAGCCTTTCTAACACCAAAAATAGACCCAAAAAGCACAAAAAATGCGTCACCCCTAATTAACACCCTAGCCCAAAATTAAAAACCCTAATAATCTAGAGCACCCCATAATACAAGGGTAAAATGGGAAATACAAAAGAAAATAAATTCTAAGTCCTAAACACCCCAAAATACAAGGGTAAAATTGGAAATACAAGTAAAATAAATTCTATGACTAAAATACCCCAAAGTACAAGGGCAAAATAGGAATAAAAATAAATGCTATGCTAATAAGAACTTAGGGGCTAAGGTCCAAAAGTGGCCTCACTAACCCATTCCTCTTGCCTCCTTTAATATATCACCTCTTGGTCTTCTCGGCCTTAGTGTTATTCCATCAAGGCCCTTCAAACTTGGGAACACTACCTTATTCCCAAGGAGTTTGTCATTCATAGTGACCATGAGTCACTTAAATATTTGAGGGGTCAAGGCAAACTCAATAAAAGGCATGATAAATGGGTAGGGTTCTTGGAACAATTCCCATATGTGATCAAATACAAGAAAGGGAAAAACAATATTGTGGCTGATGCCCTTTCTAGGAGACACACTCGTGTATTTAGCTGTTTCTAAGGAGGCGATCATCTCGGTTCTAGTGCAGGAAAAAGAAGGCACCCAAGCTCCCATATATTTCGCAAGACGACTCCTTCAAGACCCTGAAACCCGGTACCAGCTAATAGAAAAGGTGGCACTAGGCTTGGTACACACTTCTCAACGCCTAAGGCATTACTTCTAGAGCCACCGAGTAGTCGTACATACCGACTGCCCGATTACCAAGGTTTTGGGTAAGCCCGAACTGGCCTGGAGGATGATGGCTTGGTCAGTTGAGCTCTCTCAGTTCGACATTGCTTTCAAGCTGAGAGGACCGACCAAAGCTCAATGCCTAGCCGACTTCGTGAATGAGCTCCACCCGCACGGCCACTTTGAGGAACATTGGTGGACGTGGACGGTTCCTCAAACTACCAGGGGAGCGGGGCAGGAGTGATCTTAGAGGGACCAAAAGGGATAACCGTAGAACAATCCTTGCGTTTTCGGTTCAAAGCTTCGAACAATCGAGCTGAATATGAAGCTCTATTGGCCAGGTTAAGGTTGGCCGAAGACATGGGTGCATCAAGGGTCAAATGCCGAACTGACTCCAAGGTGGTGGCCGAGCAGGTGGGTGGTAACTTCCAAGTAAAAAACCACAACATGATAAAATACTACCATGCCTATCAAAAGTTGAAGGCGAACTTTCAGGAGGTGTTGGTCGAGCACATCCCACGCGAGGACAACACCCGAGCCGATCAGTTGGCTAGGTTAGCCGCGACCAAGAAGCCAGGCCAATTATGAACCATCATCCAGCAAGAGATCGATCACCCTAGTGTCGAGGCAGAAATGGTAGGAAGTGTCGATGCCGACCACGCCGATCCCAACGATCCCCCAGACTGGCGAGCCGAAATCAAAGCATTCCTCACCAACAGAATCGCACCGGACGACCCAACCGAGGCCAAACGGTTGAGAACTCAAGCCAGCAGATATGTCGTCATCGCTGGTCAGTTGTACAAATGTGGCTTCTCTACCCCGCTACTCAAGTGCCTAGACCCTGCCGAGGTCGATTACGTAATGAGAGAAGTACACGAGGGCATTTGCGGAATGCACTCAGGAGCAAGGTCGACCGTTTCCAAACTTTTGCGCGCCGGGTACTACTGGCCGACCATGAATGCCGACTGCGCGACGTTTATAAAGAAGTGCCAACCATGTCAAAACACGGGGACTTGATCCACCAACCAGCCGAGCAGCTACATTGCATTCCCCCAGCATGGCCGTTCGCCACTTGGGGGGCCGACATACTCGGACCTTTCCCGGTTGCTAAGGGGCAATGCAAATTCCTCATCGTCGCAGTAGATCTGTTTACCAAATGGATTGAAGCCGATCCCTTAGCGTGTATCTTGGATCATCAAGTCCAAAAATTCTTGTGAAGGAATGTCATAACCCGGTTCGGCGTCCCACACACCCTGGTGACCGACAACGGCCTTCAATTCACCGGCCGAAAACAACGAATTCCTAGCCGGCGTAGGAATACAGCACAAGACTACTTCGATCGAGCACCACCAGACAAAAGGCCAAGCCGAGTCCGCCAATAAAGTCATTTTGAAGGAGTTGAAGAAGCGGCTAGGAGAAGCAAAGGGAGCATGGGCCGAGCAATTGCCCGAGGTGTTGTGGGCTTATAGGTGCACACCCCAGTCAACTACGCAAGAAACCCCTTTTTGCGTAGTATATGGGTCGGATGCGATGATCCCGGTGGAAATCAGAGAACCATCATTCCGCCGAGCCCACTTCGATGAAGCAAGCAACGAGGTCGAGCTCCGAACAAACCTGGATGTGGTGGAAGAGTTTCGAGACTGAGCACTAGTAGTGGCCGAGGCCACCAAGCAACGCTACAAGAGAAGATTCGATAGCAAGGTGAAGCCTAGAGAATTCTGAGAAGGAGATCTTGTTTGGAGAGCCACTGGCGAGGCGAGAAAGGATCCGAGACAAGGAAAACTCGCCCCAAATTGGGACGGACCCTTCCGAGTACGACACAACCTAAACAACGGGGCATACAAGCTAGAATACTTATCAGGAGAGCCAATTCCGAGAACTTGGAACTCCTCACATTTAAAAGTGTATTACAGCTGATGTAATAGTGTACTCTTTTCCTTGACCGACTCATTTTTCCCTAAGGAGGGTTTTGGGCCGGCAAGGTTTTTAACGAGGCACTTTATTAATACGAAACATCTTTGAATATTGATCGTCTCATTTCTTATTTGACTGCACGTATACGTTTAGGTCATTCCCATGCAGGTCTAACCTCGAATAACACACGCCGACGCCGAGCAATCCTCAGCCGACCACTTAAAAGTGCACTCGCGCCTTACAGGTTTCCTTCCTGAGTACCCTCCTCGGCTAAGGATGCCCCTAGGCCGAGCACTATGTACGAACGCGACGACACCGAGCAATCCTCGGCCAACCACTTAAAAGTGCACTCGCGCCCTACAGGTTTCCCTCCCGAGTACCCTCCTCGGCTAAGGATGCACCTAGGCCGAGAACTACTACACGCAACGACATCGACCATTCCCTGGTCACGTACACTCGTACGCCCCACCGTATATCAAATCGCTGATTTCGCGGCCGAACATGTTCAAACCGAACACTCTCTAACCGAGCACTCACGCGCGCTCCGCACTGTATATCAAATCGCTGATGCCTTGACCGAGCATGCTCAAACCGAACAATCTCTAACAAGACACAATCAAACACCACACTTCAATCACCGATTAAATCGCGAAATTGGTCCCCTTGGTCAAGTTTGAAGTCAGTTTATTTTTACTACTATGTGTTGATAAACATGCAAAATTAAAGCAAAATATTTCATTAAGTATGGCCGAGCAAAACGGCTACTTACAAAAAAAAATCATCATCATCTATGCACCGGCACCAATGGCCAAAGTTGCAAAAGGCGCTGACGACCCGGTTACAAAAGAAGCAAAAAAGGTCCTAATCATAGTGATAGACTATGGCCAAGGCCAAGGAATCCAAGAGGTGATATCTTAAAAGAACCAAGAGAAATGGGATGATCTTAAAGACCTTTTTCATATGTTTGTACATATAGTAGTTTCTTTGTATAGGCTTATTTTTGCCTTTGTATTTGTGAGGCATTTTACTTGCTTTTAACTAGTGTTTGTATATTGATTTTAGGGTAGGCTACTTGGAGAGTTTAACTCCATTTAACCTCCTTTGTTGATACATTCATTTTATATTTTTTCAGTAGGTAAAAAGGGGTGGCATTTAGCAATGCTTGAGGGTGTGACTAGTAATTGGGCCAGAACTAGGCCTAGGCAAAATTTTGCATATTAGACTCATTTTGCTCCTAATTTTTCATAGATTTGGTTTAGCTAGGTCTCATCATCATATGATGAACCTAACTAAACCAAATCAAATATTTTTGAAATAAACAATGGAACATTTTTGAGCCTTGGCCGCCTAGCTCATTCCTTTTGTTCTTGGCCAAAATTTCTAGCTTCTCCTACAAGCTTTGAAGCTTGCCTTCAAAGCTTCTAAACCTTGGTAGGTTAGGCTAACCTTACCATGGTTCTTAAGTGAACTATGGTCAAGTTTAGCTTCTCCTACAAGTTTTAGAAACCATGGATGGTTAGCTACACCTTACCATGGTTCCTAGTGAACCATGATTAAGGTTAGCTTACACTAGAAGCTACCTCTCCCTATATATTTGTTTTCTCTTCACTCGTATTCACTTTTGGACATTTATGAGAATTAGAAATCAGATTTCTCTCTCATTTTCAAGAGTCAAATTTGTGAGAAACCTTCTCCTAGGTTCTCTCTCAAAGTTCCTTCTCCTAGAAGCTTGGTTCCTCAAGCTTCTTCACCTCTCTAAGAGGTAACCGAACCTCCTCAAAGGTGCTTCTCCTCCATTGAAGCTTCTTCAAAGGAGAATTCCAAGGTCAAAACGTGATAACCTCATGGAGCATTTTCGGTCCTTGCATGGAAGCTTGGATGAAAAACAATCTTCACCAAGTGCTTCCATCACATAGCCTAACACTATTAAAGCCGATCCCTATACTGCTGTCGAGTTCGGGGGATTCCCATCGCCGACCACGTCAATAACCGGATCCTCCTCCCTGGTCGATTGTACGGGAACTTGAGTGGAAATGCCTTGACGAGGGGCCTCGGCGTCGGGTTGGGCCCCTTGAGGGAACTCAGAATAACTTATAAACTTACCACCTAAGAAGTCTCGGCTAACATCAAACTGAAAGTCAGCCGGGACCTCACAGAAGTGGTAAGCTTGCCTGATTGCGTGCTGGAAGCTGGCATCATGTTGGAAGAGGATTTGCTCGGTGGCTTTGGCCTCAAACTTGGCAGCAGCCTCCTTCAACCGAGCAATCTCGTTTGCGGAGGCGGTGGCATCGGTCTTCATTTTTTGAACGGCCAACTTCAAGTCGTCAGCTTCCCTTCTGTGGGCGTCGGCAACCCTCTTCAGTTCTTCAGCCGACTCGGTTAACTTGGCGTTCGCAGCCAACGCCTCCTTCACCGTAGCCTCGGCCTCTTTGAGTCGGCCATGGAGCCTTTCCTCCGAGACGACATGCCTCATCATGACATGCTTGGCAACCAGGGAGGTCCGAGTATCAAGCTCACAGAAGAGCTTATACTCGGCCTCGGCAGACATTCCCTCCAAATATTGCAGCCCCCACAGTAGGGAGGTCCAGGTTGACCAGGTTCCCGGTCTGCACGTTCGGAGCAAGAAAGTTAGAACCCGCCACAACAGCTGGAATGGCGAAAGCACCACAACCCGATTGCTCCAAAGATAGTTGCTTCGGGCACATGCTAGAAGAGCTCAAACGTTCCGGCTCTATATTCTGCTCGGCAGCCCGCACCCGAGAAGTGCTTCCCTTCTTTTTGGCATCGACCAAAGGGATGATCACGTTGGGGGGCTTATCCCGCGACAACTTCAGAGCCGACCTCGCCGGCGGCACCTTCCCACTAGCCTTAGCTTCCTTCGCCCTCTTGGTGAGCATGGCAGTCACATCTAGTTTACCCCCGACCATTAAACCTGCAACAAAGTAAGTCTTAACATCAATTCAAAACACTGCTACACTACCGAAACCTAACACACATACCTAGTAAGGCCATCTCAAAGTGAGATGTTTCAAAAATGTCCAAAAGGCCTCGGACAGGCAAACCCTTCGGCAACTTGTCCAGGAGCTCCACAATCTCTCTATCCTCGGCTGGGAGCTTTGAAACAGGCATCGCCTAGAAACGCATCGGCCGCTTCGTCCAATAAAAAGGGAATAACGGAGAACCATCTCGGTCATAAAAGCAACTCTCCATTTCTGAACCCCAACGAACTTTGAAGAAGCCGCTCTTAAACCCTTTATACGAGGACGTGAAGGCTCGCAAGAGCCCCCGCTTCGGCACCCGAGCCAACGATACCCATTTCACCGGCTTGCTCGGCCGACATATATAATAGTAGAGGAAGGCTAGGGGCCGGGGTGTGAGGCCCAGGCAAAGACAGAGATTCTGGAACGCCTGCATTGCAGCCCAAGAGTTCAGATGCAGTTGGGTCGGTGCAACATTTAATACTCGGAGCACGCCCGTCTGAAAGTCGTCGAAGGGTAACTTTATGCCTAGGTCTTCAAACCAACACATATAAGCATAGAAGTACTCGTCCCCCTCGGTTTTCGGCTCCAAAAACACGAAGTCGGTCTCCGACCCATCGTCTTCACACGCCTCGGCGAGTAATGGGAACTCGTCCTCTCCGCTCCCAAAACACTTCTCCAAAGACACGAATGTGTCCAATAGTCCCTGGTCGGACAGCTTTAAAAAATATATGCCGACCTCCCCATCCACCCACTCGTATCCGGGCATCTCCACCGAACCGTAATCAATCTTCGCCTTTGTTTGAGTACTCGGACCACCCATGTCTTTGCCTCGATTATCCACGACTACTTCCAGATCATCTCCACTCGCTTGGCATGAATGGCCTCGGCATGTGGGCTCTGCTGGCCGACCCGGCCTAAACACCTAACATCCACCTCGGTGGCTCGCGCCAAAGCCACGGCCAGGGTCACCGGAGGTGATACCTCGACTACTTCATCGTCACTATCCTCCCGCTCGGGAAATTCGGAGGGGAACACTACTTCGCACTACAGCGGAGGCAACCTTGATATTTCGCTTGAACCTGACCCCTCTTGATCAGACGCAGCACCCGACGCCTCCGAAGATGTCCAGCTCCTAGCCGAGGAATAGCCCCTATCCATTTATTACCACAAAATAAAAAAATACAAAATTGTACCTTATCGGAAAGCTCGGATAACCTCTTGAACTCAGAGACCTCGGAGAATTTACAGTAAGTAAATTCCCAAACACCCCCCTATTTATAGGCAAGGTAAACGGGGGAGGTGAAAATACGTCCCGAGCCGACAACCGTTAGATTTGGATCATCCGACGGTCCAGATTTAGTAACCGTCAGACCTGTAACCGCTAGGGCCAGTGTGGCATGCCACACCCACCGTATGCTCGGCGCAGGCTCTCAACGCCTGAGATCTCGGCATAGACCCCATCCAGCCGAGGTCTCGGCATAGGCCTCGTCTAGCGAGGTCTCGGCAAAGGCTTCATCAGTCAACTCTCAATGCACCCGAGTCATGACTGGACGAATCCTCGGCGCATGCTCTCAACACCTGAGATCTCAGCAGAGGCCCCATCCAGCCGAGGTCTCGGCATAGGCCTCGTCTAAACGAGGTCTCGGCAAAGGCTTCATCAGTCAACTCTCGACGCCCCCTCGCAATCACTGGACAAATCCTCGGCGCGGGCTCCTAACGTTTAAGATATCAGTGCTGACCCATCCAGCC